ATCTTAATCAGAACCCAATTGTTCTTGCTATCGACCAAAATCCTATAAAACTCGGGTGCCAATGGAAGATAAGAAGCAGGGTCCTGTGAAGCAAGCTCACAGAAGACCCCAACAACTGCAGACAAAATCCGAGGATCTGAACTGTCTAAATTCTCAACCAAACGCTTGAAACACACCCTAACAGCATCAGGGTATTTCCCAAAAACCCTCAAAACCGCACCAATTGCCTTCTTTCTAACAAAAACCTTACTACTCGACAGCAATGTAAAAATCTCAGGGGTTAAGTCTCTGGCAAGATCAATAGTTGCAATTCTAGACAAACAATCGAGAGCAAGGCTAACCTCGAATTCATTGGTGCTAGTTAAATCCTTCCGGAGCTGGTTGGTGATGAGGAGGAGAACTGGTGTGGCTTCGTGAAACGATTGGGATGCAGCGAGGTAGCCGGCCTTCTTTTGGGCGAAGCGAGAGGATGACATAACCTCGACGACATGGAAAGCAGCCCAATTCATATCGATGCCGTGAAGGCAGCTTAGATAGGAGAGCTTTTGCAACGCGGTGGCCTTAGTTTGAGGGTCCGTAGATTTGATCTCGCGCCGAATCTCGTCCATGGCCTTGGTAATAAAAGCAGACTCTCCGAGGAGTTGGAGGCGGAGGCCTTTGATAAGGTCATCGAGAGTTCGCTGGAAGAGATTGTCCATAAGAGAGGAACCCGCCATTGATAGAGATGAAATTGCTCACTCTAATGGCTAAAATTTCATGGCTGAATGGCTGGTAATAGGGGAAAGATGAGAAAACGAAGGAAAATCGCTTCCATATACAGTAGAGCTGGATTCCATCAACGGAGGAAGAAGGAAAATAAATTGCTGCAGGCTTTTCTGAATCAAAATTACGGAACAATGATCTCGATTTGGGTTTTGGAACTGAGTTCCGATCACGTTCGAGTCCAACGCAGACGACAGATTGGGAATGTGGGCTACTGGACCTGTGGGTCATCGGGTACAGCGAGATTCAAAAAGTCCGGAAAAAAAAAAAAAAAAAAAAAAAAA